CCTTCTCCTGGAAAAAGAGAAGAGCTTATATTTATTTTTGTTTATTTTTTGGTGCTGAATATCGAATCCAGAACCTAGTGCACGCTAGGAATATGTCCTGCCACTAAATTACATCCCCAGCCCTGTTTGTCTGTTTGACTAGGTCTCGTGATGTAGTTCAGACTCAGCTTGAACTCACTAGGTAGCTGAGGCTCACCTCGAAATCACAGCAATCCTCCTGCCTCAGCCTCCTGACTGTTAGGATTACAGGCCTGCATCACCATGCCCAGCTTTTTGCTTCTTTCTGAAACTCTGAAAATAACACAGCTGGGCATGGTGGCACACACTTGTAATCCCAGCACTCAGGAGTCTGAAGCAGGAGGATCATTGCAAGTTTAAGGTCAGCCTGGGCTACAAAGTAAGCTCATGACCAGCCTGAACTGCATAATGAGACCTGTTTCTAAAACAGGCAAAAGATAAATAAATTGGGCCAGGGAGATAGCTCAGCGGACTAAGCACCTGCTTAGGCAAGGGAAGGGACCAGGGTTTGATCCTCCCCACACCCCTACAACGCAGGCCACGACCACCCCACCCCTGGGCATGCTGAGCCAGCCACCAAGTTTGGGCATGACTGGGGAGGCTGAAAACAGGAGGATCACTAGGAGTCTGAGCTGCACAGTGAGACCCTGTACCAAATACATACAAAAATAAAATAATTAAATTAAATTAAACTTTAAAAATGAGTGGGCTCGGGGCTGGTGAGATGGCTCAGTGGTCTAAAGCACCTACTTAGAACAGGCTTAGCAAAGCACAGGGACTGCGGTTCAATCCCCCAGCACCACATGCCAGCCAGCCCTGCGCCCTGGTGGGCTGAGCTGGCCACACACACACACACACACACAAATAAATAAATACATTTTAAAAATAAAAAATAAAAAATGAGTGGGCTGGGGGTATAGCTCAGTGGCATAGGTGCCTGCCTAGCAAGTGTAAGGTCCTAAATTCAATCCCTGCAAAAATAAATGAATACATCAAATTAAAAATCAGAAAGCTAGGGATGTAGCTCAGTGTTCCCTGTATTCAATCTCTAGTACCACAAATAACAGTAATATACTTTGTACAATTGTACTATTTGTGGGATTATTACCACAAATAATGATACTATACTTTGTACTGGTTCCTTTGGAGCTAGCTGGGATCTAAGCACAATTCAGAAATGATATCATTTTAAAAGAGATTTATTTTAAAAAAAATAAAAATAGGGCCGGGGAGATAGCTCAGTAGAATAAGCACCTGCCTGGCAAGTACAAGGTCCTGAGTTCAATCCCCAGTACTGCAAAAAATAAATTAATTAAAAAATAAATAAATTAAATTAATAAAAATAAAAGAGATTTAGGAGCTGGCAAAATAGCTCAGCAGCTTAAGTGCCTGCTTGGCAAGCACAGGTCCTGAGTTTGATCCACGGTACAACAAAAAAAGAGAGATTTATGAAATTTTCTAGTACTGGGGAGTGAACACAAGGTATTCACACTGGGGCTGGGGAGATGGCTCAGTGGAATAAGTGCTTCCCTGGCAAGCGCAAGGGCCTGAGTTCAATCCCCATTCTGCCAAAAAACAAAAAAAACAAAACAAGGTATTCACACTGAACTATACCCTCTGCTCTTTTTATTTTTTTTATTTTTATTTTTTTATTTATTTATTTTTTTGTGGAACCGGGGATTGAACTCAGGCCCTTGTGCTTGCCAGGGAAGCGCTTATTCCACTGTGCCATCTTCCCGGTCCTATTTTTTGTTTTGAGACAGGGTCTTCTTAAGTCTTGACCAAGTTGCCAGGGCCAGACTCAAACTTGTGACCCTCCTGCTCTAGCCTTGAAGACTGGTGGGGGTGAAGCTGTGCATCATTGTACCCAGTTTAAAACAGTCCTGGCCAGGCATGGTCACACACATCTGTAATGCCAACACTTCAGAGGCAGAGACAGGAGGATCTCTGGGAGTTCGAGACCAGCCTGGGCTACAAAGTAAGCTCCAGGCCAGCCTGAGCTGCATAGCAAGACCCTGTCTCAAAAAAAAAAAAAAAAAAAAAGTTTTGTAAGTAGAGAGAAATTGGTCTATAAGTCAATCATTTAAACCAAAGTGGGCAAACGTTTTCAATAAAGAGCAGAAAGGAAATGTGTAAGGCTTTGCAAAGGTCTCTGTTGAAATTGCAGTACTTAGCTCTCTGTGTAGTGCAAATCCACCGGTGGACCACACGTGCAAGGGGCATCTGTGTTTCAATAAAACATGATCTACTGAAGAGAAGCTGTTGTTTGGAAGCTAGAACGTTGGCCAAATGTGTGGAAGCGGGACTAGGCCTCAGCGCCTAAAGCAAACAGGGCGCCTCAGTCCTGAGAGAAGCATCCCGGCTGGCTCCTGTCGGCTATTAGTCACTAGACAACCTTGCACTTTGCAAAGGTATAAATAGATGTCCATATTGTTGTTCAGGGGTCGTCTCGCCAATCAGGCCAATGAGTCACCACCTAATCCAGCTCTTGGCTTCTTGTCTGTCTTTTCCTCATGCCTGCCGCAGTTTCTCCCCAGGTAGAACAGATCGCACTGAGACCCACGGATCCTTCCATTTGGGCTGAGCCAGAAAACAGAAGGCCACCTCCTGAGCTACAGTGAAGGCCACCATGCCACGCTCTATTACAAAAACTGGCCTGGAATCAGGGTAAAAATTCAATTGGGTGTCACAGCTGGTGGCTCATGCCTGTAATCCTAGACCTCAGGAGGCTGAGGCAGGAGGATTGCTGATAGTCTGAGGCCAGAATAATCTCCTAAAATACCACACCTGCTGAATGGTCTCTATTGAATAAGAGCCAAGGAGGATCCCTGGGCGTGCCGTGCCGGCCCCGCCCCCGAGCGCACTGAGATGGCAATTGAGACGGGGCGCTGTGGGGTGCTGTAAACAGGTGGATCATTAGAGTCTGATCTAGAAGTGAGACCCTGAACACCCTGTAGACCCTTCCCTAAAATACATATA